GCAATCCTTATGATGCCAAATTTTACTGAAATCGGTGGATTTCAAAAAAGTACACCCGCCATATTGGATCAGCCATCTTGAATTTTTACAATGTGAATTCATATTCGTAATCAGCGACCCAAAAAACCCCTTTATACAAAATCTGGTCAAAATCCGCTCAGAATTTGAAAATAGCGATTCCTGCTCGGTTTTTTGAGGTTAGAAAAAAACCACACGTTCTAGCTCAATTCTGACAGTGGATTTGAATTCAGCAGAGTCTTTTACATAAAAATGTACTATTTGATGTGGAAATAAATTTTTTTCCAAATTTTCCCAGTAAATTTTCATCAATTTTCACTATTTTTCACAAGTTTTTTGAGGTTAGGAAAAAATTGTGACGTGATGGGTCAATTCCGACCCCAGATTCGTGTTCAGGAGGCCAAATTACTACGAAAAATATATGTCGCATAAAAAGTATACCCAACTTTTTTTTCTGTGTGTATGTGATTATCAATCACGTGGTCTACAATCATTTATGAAGACTGTATGTATATCCAAACGTTTGGAAAAGGCAGAGACGTGTCTAATTTCACAAAAGCATTTGGCATCGTTATTTGGTGCATCCCGCGTATACTTTTGCAATCTGCAGTACTAGCAGTATACTCCTGCAGCGACAGTTAGCTCCGCGGCAATGGCAGCAAAAGGACAACTATTTCGAGCAAAATTCAAATGTAAATCGGTCGGAGTCCTGCAAAAAATCCGCGGTCGGTATTTAAATGTCAGGGTTGCAGATCTACCTTTCATTTATCTGCGGGTTAGAAACAGCGGCAATTAAATTTATGAAACACGGCGACTTTCCCGCGATAATACAATAGGGCAACCAGAGGCGCATTCAATCACATCTCTTCTTGCATCTCTTTGTGATGTGTCAGGCAGCGGCCGGCGAAAAAACCCAGCGATCACGGTAAATAGCAGGCAATAGCCATCAATCGCTAGCTGGTTACCTTGTACGGGCAAATTATTTAAGGCTCCACATTCTGTTTCGGATTTGCTTGATAGTGGTGTGTCACAGCGAGCAGTGGCGTGGGATATCGACGAAGAAAAGGGGAAGAGCTTTAAAATGCTCCAAAAATTGGTAGTTCCCATCTTAAGCGTGTTTTGTCTGTGTCATCTTCAAACGGTTTCAAATAGATAAACTTTCTCTGATTCCTCGTTCGATATCGCCCATAAATCATTATAATTGACGCTTTCACAAGCGCATTTTCTAAATTCGCTTCTGCTAAATTCGGCTGGAACTAATGCCAAGTGAATTATCTACAAACTATTTATGTTTAATGATCCTTCTCAGTTAATATGATTGCTGTTTTAAAAGACTGTAATGTGATGTTTCCTTTTTGTTCCAGGTGAGTGAACCCCTTGCCTTGGTATGGCCTCTGTAGTAAGACGTAGTAAGTACCATTAGTTTTTAGATGACTTTTCAGACCATGTCAACATCGATGTTGATCCAAAGAAATAACACATATTTTACGCACGAAGAAAAGTGTAGATGATTGAATTAATACATATGTATTAAATTTATTACAGTCGTGTTAAAAAAAACAAAAGTTTATTTTGTAAGTAAGAAAAACAAACCATAACACTAAAAAAATTCGGAACATAAATTACAATAATTATAGTACAAAGCAAAACAACTAAAAATGGGATCCATACCACAATATTCATAAAATCAACAAACGTATTATATGTATTTTGGTCACTTATCACATCAACGATTGTGGGTGGGTTTAAATTAATGGTTTGTACCTCCCTATTTTCTGTTTTAGTGTTATCTTCTGTTATATTTTGTCATGATTAAACTTATCGGCATTAGATATAGTCGTCGTATTGGTTTCAGTCATATCTCCATGATGCTTCACCTCCAAACGTAAATAAGGCTTGATTGATTGACTGTTACCGATCTCCAATCCCAAATTTGGTTAAATTTGAGGCAGCAATCGCTCATGCAGAATGATTGGTTATTTTAACTTTTAGTGTCAATTGCTATATCAGAAGGTGCTGATTTAGACCACAAAGATCTATTATTCTTCCCAAGTAGGCAGTTTAATTTCTTACAGTTTGGATTTGAAGTTAAAAACAGTGTGTCGATCTTAATTTCATTTTCACTTTTTTTTATCAATTTCTTGTACAGTCGGGTAGGACATTTTGAGGATTGTCCGAATTTGTCATTGACCTTTGCTGCCAAGCTTTTGGAACCACCTACTGTAGTTTTAGAGAAGTTTGAGTTATATTCAATGCCACTGGTAGGTTTCCCAGATTATCAGTTTTGTCTTAAAAAAAATTGAACGCAGGTAGAAAATCCTTCTCTTCTTTCCATGCCAATTCATGTGAAGCGATATGAAAAAAATTGCGCTGTAAACGATCGTAAAATCCGAAGTCTGGGTCAAATCTACATTTTTGCAGAATCTAAGAATTTAAAAAGAATTTAAGTAATAATTTGAACAAATCAAAATGCAGGTAGATGTTTCTCAAAAAACTTGGGGCTCGAAACACCTGGATACGGCCCTGCACCTTTACAATCTTTTTTGGACGCCCCCACCCAAAGTAGTTAACACACAATCGTAGCTGGCTGATATTGCCCCGACATAATATTTATGCAAATCTTTATTTATCGCGAATAGATTTGAACAACTTGTTGGAAGAATTTACGCAATATGTGCTAATTTAAGAATTGTTGTTTTCATTGGAAAAGTTTGCGTGTGTCACCTATCCGTGGCTCATTCATATTCATCACGTTGGTATCGTCAGAGGCTTCGATAGCGATATAATAATCGTTAGAAAAATATTTGTCCAAGTATGCTAATTTATTTTGTAATAAAAAACGATCAATTACTGGTTAAAATTTAAAACCAAATAGTTGTAATTTGATTCATGCTTATAACAAGTCTAGTGATTTGTCGAGATTGAAGCGGCAACCTGCCGAGTTACGGGAGGCGCTTCCACTTAATCCCTTTTTTATTTCGTCCCTCTCGCCAATTTCCGTTTAATTCCGATGATTAACAAGTGAGCAAGTCGTGACGGGGGCCTAATAGAGCGCCCATACAAGCGGCGACGGGTCACGACTGTTACGATGACGAGCGGGAGGTCTTAATTAACACGAAAAAACGACGAAGTAGGCGAAAAGCGACCGACGAGCCGCTACTGACCGTCCGATCGGCGACTATCATCGAGCAGTAAGCAAGAGCAAAACAAGAAAGGGTATAAAACGAGTTTTTGTATGAGTCACAGGCCCCGCCAGCATTAATTGCGCTGTTCGCTGTAGCTTAGAACGGCAACCGGCAACGCCGCCAGCGGTGCCACATCTACGAGATTTCCCGAGATTTGAATACTTTTCCTTGTGCATTAATCTTTTAAATTTATTAAAATGCTTAGGTCATCCAGCGCCTTATTAAATCGCATTTTCGTCGCACGCTTCTATTACAAACTGTTTGCATTTTATAAAAAAAAAGCTTCATTACGTTGAGTGCGATTTTAACTACCTAGGTACTCTATTGTGTGACTTGGCAACGTCGACGGCCGTCAAACACTCTTCTCGCTAGATGTGTAACGTTTAAGTGCTGTTCCTCATCCTCATCTCATCGGGATTCATTTACTAGGAGCTGGCCAATATCGTCGTAGACAACCGGTTACCTGTCGCTATGTAAAAAAAAAGAACGAGAAGTAACTGTATTCACAACTTGTCTCGCGAGTTCAAACGGCGATATATTTATCGAACTGCCGGCGATTAAATAATTAACAGGAGCCTATGGCTGGGTGTTATTGTGCCGGGAGAATATTTTTTTTAAGTGGGCGATTAATTGGCAGCTTATTGCTACTGATATACTGAGTCACAAACAGTACTCAACGGTACAATAGGCAAATACATTTTCAATTTCTTTTGCCTTACTTGCCCTATTTCTGTATTTGAATCATTTCAAATACGTTTATTTTTTTTAGAGACCATTCACATTCAAAATAATGTCTAGAAATGGTCAATTATTTGACATTGTTCTATACAATTTACAATTTATTCTCTATATGACTTCTCATTTCAAGACACATATCCAATATTCGACTGACTTCTTTGTGGGCTGCGTTTATTAACATTTCGCCGTTTTACTGATTACAAGCGTTTGTGATTTTTTCTTTCAAATGATTAATATCTCGGGAAGGTGTTTTGTAAACCTTATTTTTTAAAACCCCCCTTAAAAAATCGAGGGGTGTTAGATCTGGTGACTTTCCGGGCCACTGAATAGGTCCATTAAGCCCAATCCATTTTTCCGGGATAGTGTTATATTGCTGCACAATCCTGGCCTTGTGGGGTGGAGCCCCGTCGTGCTGAAACCATAGGATTTTCTTTAGCTGCAAAGGCACATTCTCCAGAAGTGCATTGCTTATAACTTTTAAACGGGAATACAAAAAAATTTCTCTAATAAAAGTATTAGAAAAAAGAGAGCTTTTTAACAGGAAAGAAATTTGGGTATGTTTCTGGAAAAAATATAATTCATCATGTTATTAGTCGTTTCTGTCAAATCCCAAAGATAATACTTTCCATGACTCAAATTTTATTTAAATTTTTTGTACCCTCACAGTAGGCCCGTACTATCGAGTTTGAAACGCCTTTCCCAGTAATAAAATAACACCTGCAATCAATAAACATTAAATGTGTTAGAATAAGACCTATCCAACTGTAGTATAAAAACCCTTTGTTCGACAAAAAATAAGTAAACGTAGTTGTGGCCAAAAAATATGTGATCGTCATAAGAAATACATACGTTGTGTGTATCTATTTTTATATTGACAGGAAGGCGCTGGCTACTAACTTTGTAGAGGGGAAGTATGGTTTAATTATATAAAACAAAAGCAGAGTAAATACACCTAACCTTTATTTACATACAATTCAAATTAAACATGTGACAAATAGAATGAACAACAAAAACATTAACAACCATTTAACATAGAATGAGAGTGCCAGGCTCACCTAGAGCTCCTGTGGGGAAAGAGCATGGCAGAGAAACCCACGATCGTTGCTCTTACCACCCAAATATAAATACAAAACAACCGCTAACCAAAGGCATAAATTAAGATCCTTTGCTGGTGATAAATAAGACCTGTCTCATTTAATGTGTCACTAAATGTCATCTGTTACCTCATATTAGTCATACACACTTCCAAGTAAAACTGAAGAGGTTTGGTGTTAGTTAGCCGGCAGAGCCGGAAGGTACTGGAGTCCCATACGGGAGGCAATCCAGCTATAGTTGAGATTTCGGAAGATCCTTCATAACACTGGAGTCCCATACGGGAGGCAATCGAGCTTAATCCAGATTCGTTCCGCACGGGCGAAAATGTTAGTAAATTCAACAAGGCTCGTATAGACGTATGACATAAAGTGAGCACAAGAAATCAAAGAACAACCTAATCATGATAAAACAAGTTAAATGTGAAACAAAGAGGTCGTTATTGCAATATCTGGGCAGTCACGACAATATACATATATCAACATGTAATAAATAATGAGCAATCTATAATAATAATTGTAACAATTTTATCTTAGAAAAATATACGCCCCTGAGCGTAAGACAATGAAGGCCAAACATATACAGAATTATTATCATGAAACATCTATATTTTACGTATAACGTAATCGTGGCAAAAACAAGTTAGATGTGAAACAAAGAAGTCGTTATTGTAATGTCTGGCAATCAGGACAATACATATATTTTTAACATGAAATAAATAATGGGCAAACTTTAAGCATAATTACAACAATTTTACCTTGTAAAAATATATGCCCTTGAGCATAAAGCAATGCATGAAACATCTATAATCATCACAATCATAAGATTACATAGAACAATTAACAACAAAGTACTTAAAGAATATTACCTGCTAACTAATAACACTTTAAACACTTAATTTTACACTACTTTGTCACACTGCCTGCCGATCGTCTTGCTACCTATCTGCACACTGTTCTCACTTCAACTACCTATCTTCGACTATTTAGGCTTCCTTCCAGAATGTCCCACCTATGCGTTTGCTTTTTTGCGCTTTCTTCTACCAACCGTTAATATTACTTTTTCATTATTGTGCAACACTCATGTAACAGCTGACGTCGAAGTTGATAAGATAAGTACGGTTTTGCACACAACTTCATTGCGTTTGTTTAAATGGGTTTGAAACAAAGAAAAAATATTGGTCAACGTTCTTTCATAAGTTCATATTTTTTTGACGTTTGATGTGTTTTGACTGAAAATTATCTCGTCAAATTTGGTGCCTCCAATGTCATTAAAGCATCGCCTTTTTAAGCGGTTTCGTTATAACTGATGTTAGCACTAATAACAGGAATAAATTATCGAGAAACTCGTCCTTAACAGGAGGTTAGAAAAAGGACAAACATTTAACACAATAA